TATATAACCAACCTCAGGATAAATATTACCAACTTGTGGTTTGCTAACCTCAAGATATATATTACCAACTTGTGGTTTGCTTGTGCTGCCCAGCCCTCACCTTCTAAGTACTTGATAGGCTGGTGGTAAATCAGCACACCTGTTGACTGATGAGGGTTTGTCTTCCCAGCTTCAATCATTTCCTTGGCTGTTTTTGTGCCTTCTCATCCAACAATCTCAGTAGCTGCAAAATGGAATGTCTGTCCTTGCCTTGTTCATTGCAGTGTGAGGCTATCAATGAGTTTGGGTCTCCATGCAGGGGATTCGGTAGATTACATTGGAATTATTTCCCACCTCCAACTATAATTCCTAACCAAGCTTATTTAGTGCAATTAGTAGTTCCACAACTAAGGTAGGAGAGCTACATGGCATGCAGGCTGGTCTGCTAGTTTTTATTATTCTTTGTAAAGCATTATGCATGCATTTTTTTTTAAAAGCAAACTCTACGAATGTCTGAGACTTGCTCTGCTTGTTTTTTTTTTTTTCATCTTGAATGTAGGGTATCCTGGTGAAAGAGGACAACGAGGGCCAAAAGGGGACAAAGGAGATATTGGCCAACGTGGGCTACCTGGCTTCCGGGGAATACCAGGTATTGTATTTGCTGTTTATTGATGTTCTGATAACAAAACTGGATACAAAACCACCATAATCCACCAAAATAAGCGTTTGTTCAAATTTCATAACTGGTCCTCCCTGCAAAACTCTAGGTGAAGAAAGCTGTTGATTTCTGATTCAGATGAAACCTATGCCTGCAGTCCTTTTATTATTTTTGTAGCCTAAACTATTGCCTATGTTGAAAATCCTGAAGTGGACGACTATTATAAAAACATTCACATTTGGAATTTGAATTCCAATTTGCATTTGGAATTTGATGTTCAAATCTGGCAGCGAATTGAACTCCCAGCTGTAATCTTGTGAGGGCTTTGATTACTTAAATTAGCGTGTCCTGTCCAAAAATATTACATTTGATTCCATGTTAGAAATTAGGAACAACATAGTTTGCTATATTATTGGAAGCTAAGTATTAATTGCTACACAAAAATGTTCACATACAGCAAGCATATCCCAGTGTCATGACCTTAATCTACAGAGAAGTGGGGACGGACAAGCTCTGCTTACAATAATACAATAATACAATACAATAGCAGAGTTGGAAGGGACCTTGGAGGTCTTCTAGTCCAACCCCCTGCCTAGGCAGGAAATCCTATACCGTTTCAGACAAATGGCTATCCAACATCTTCTTAATGACTTCCAGTGTTCATTCACAACTTCTGGAGGCAAGCTGTTCCTCTGATTAATTGTTCTAACTGTCAGGAAATTTCTCCTCAGTTCTAAGTTGCTTTTCT